AACACCTCCCTGAATGGGAGATAGACACAGGTCCTCCGTCCTTAACCGAGGTTACTAAAGCTGTCACCAATCTGAAGCTAGGCAAAGCAGCGGGACCTGATTTATTGACTCCAGAGGTATTTAAGTACGGAGGCGACAGTTTACTGTCTGCGTTAACGGAGGTTCTAGGCAGCGTCTGGGAATCAGAGGAAGTCCCATCGGGTTGGTGTAAGTCACTGATCATCCCGATATACAAGAAGGGGGACAAGTCGTCTTGTGATAATCACAGAGGGATTAGCTTGACTAATATAGTATCTAAAATCCTAGGCTCAATAATACTGCGTAGATTAAGTGGCGCTCGGGAGACACAAACACGAGAAAACCAGGCAGGTTTTAGGCCAGGTAGAGGGTGTATTGATCACATCTTCACCCTTCGACAGATTCTAGAACATAGGCATTCCTACCGGCGTCCGACAATCATTATATTTCTTGACCTAAAGGCGGCATTCGATTCTGTCGACCGGGAGGTTCTCTGGCGATGCTTGGCTGTAAAGGGAATGCCAAGAAAATACATTGCACTGATTAAGGCACTCTACTCGTACTCATGCATCCAGGTGAGGGCTTATGGCGAGTTGTCATCTGAAGTGGTGACGACTAGTGGCGTCCGTCAAGGATGCCCATTATCCCCATTCCTATTCAATTTCATCATAGATGTACTAATGGACTTAACCCTAACTCACTTCAGCGACTCAGGGATTGACTTGCTACCAGGGAAGAATCTCGTTGACTTAGAATATGCGGACGATATAGTCCTTCTAGGCGAGGACTCTGACAAAATGCAGAGTCTACTGAACACCCTGAGCAACAATCTCCGCATGTTTGGTATGCGATTCGCCCCTATAAAATGTAAGATGATGCTGCAGGATTGGACTTCATCGACCCCTAGATTAGAAATAGGAAGTGAAGTGGTAGAACACGTTGACCGCTTCACTTACTTGGGAAGTACCATCAGCCCCAACGGGTTGATCTCCGACGAAATTTCAGCACGAATACAGAGGGCTAGGTTCGCATTCGCCAGTTTTCGCCGTCTCTGGCGTAGACGCGATATCCGACTATCGACCAAAGGGCGTGTGTACTGCTCAACAGTCCGCTCCGTCCTCCTTTATGGCTGTGAGACCTGGCCATTGAGAGCAGAAGACATGAAAAGATTAGCTGTCTTCGATCATAGGTGTCTGCGTTCTATCTCCCGCGTGAAGTGGTATAATAAGGTGAGCAATATTGAGGTTAGGCGTCGAGTGCTAGGTAAGGCGGGGAAATCAATCGACGAGACTGTGAAATTACATCGACTGAGATGGTTAGGACATGTGTTACGTATGCCTAGTCATCGCCTTCCTCGACGGGCAATGTTAGCTGATATAGGGTCAGGCTGGAAAAGAGCTAGCGGCGGTCAAACCAAAACATGGCACCAATCAATGAAATCCACAACAGTTAATCTAAGCCACGTAGGAAGATGTAGACTTCCTGGTTGGGGCCCTCGGGATGGTAAAAACCAATGGTTGGAAACAATTGGTGACATGGCTCAAAATCGTTCTCAGTGGCGCAGATGCATCCACTCCTTGTGACTTATGATTTCCAATTAAACTTTTGTTCTCCGTTATTACTATTCCTTTGTCTCACACCTCTGTTTACAGGCTATATTATACATTTCTTCTACTTCCTTCTCTTGCTTTGCGTGCTACATAGATTGTGGCGACTTGAACTGCCGCACATATGTGCAAAGTTCTATGTCGAAAACCGACCGACCGACCGAATTTTTCTGATATTCGGTCTATTGTTACGTTGATGCCATTGAATAGTAATCCATTGATATTATTTTTATTGATTCGATGTTATATAAACAACACTAATGTTGTTAATAACACTAATTCATTCACTATTATAGGTGGATATATAACTGTAGAACGTGATGAAGAGCGAATTATCGAAAAGAATATTCTTTGTTCAGTAATCATTATTTTGTGAAATTTTAGTCACTTAAAATGATAAGGTATTTAGGAATAAGAAGGATAATAATTAGCACTATTTTTGATAATATAGTCAGATAAGGATTACCAAAGTAGGTTAAAAGTAATAATAGTTTGTTTTAATGCATACATAAGAAGGTGGACCTCTTTTTTACGGACAGCTCTCATCTCAGAATAATTCAGTGAGATCCTCTAACTGTTTTCATTTATAATCTTGAAGGCTTACTGAAATATGCTGAGGCGATAGGTACAAGTAAAATTAGGCCCAAAAACTCAAGTTTCGAAGTCGTGTGATTATAATTGATATGATTATGAACAATAAATTTTGTTCGAAATTTTATCATCCAGTAAATAATACTGTTTCACTCACTGTGTGATACATCTAATAAACAAACTAATATGGAATTACTTACTACCACAGTGCACAAGTTTTACACATATATTAAAAACAGAACATATCTCTCTCTAGCTTCTTCACACACACACACACACACACAAATATAAACTCACTAGTAAGGGGAATAAAATTCACATTCGAATCAGAAAATGAACAAGGAGAATTAGCTATGGTGTTAGATTGTAAAATAAAACGAACAGAAGAAGGTAAACTGCACTGCACACTAACGTTTATAAAAAGCCAACGCATTCTAGAAGATGTTTAGACTTCAATTCATCCCATCCGTCATCTGTCTGTGAAGGCAGGCTTAGTTAAGTGTCTAACAAACCGAGCAATAGCACTAAGTAGTACAACGAAAAGCCTGGACGATGAAATGAAACAGACAGAAGAGGGATTGGTGTTAAATAACTAAGTATCCTATCAAATTCATTACGAACATCAGTAAAGGTCAAAAGCAAAATAAAAATAATGGTGAAATTAATAATGATAACATAAATAAGAAAGAAGATAAGGCATCTACACTTTCACCATATTAGAATGAGACACCTGAAACCAACCCTACGTAGGATTCTCAATGAAACAGGAATTAGAGCGGTATTCAAACGTACAAACTCACTCAGGGACAAGCTCTGTAGTCTAAAGGACCATGTAGGTTGACCCAATTAAACAAAGTAATATAATTTACCAAATACCTTGCAATGACTGTGAGTGAGGTCAACTACATAGGTCAAACTAGTAGATCAGGAGTAGTGAGGTTGCCTGTCAGAACATAAGAATTTAGCTAAGGCTAGAATGACTAATCCCACGAAGATAAGTGATTTAGAGAAAAACCCAGCAAAAAAAAAATAAGACGGAATATTTTCTTAGAAATCATCAAGATATGAGACGACCAGGAAAGATCAGCAGATAGAATGGCGCCTAGGTATTTAATTTCCGACTTGGTTTCTATTTCAGTGCCATCTGTGTTGCACACCTCGTGAGTGCTACCATAACAAACCCTACTGTTTCAGGGCATGACCGAAAATAAGATTACACTTTCGATTGAAGTTTATAGCGGGTTTAACTCATTCGCTTCATGATTTAACAGTACGCAAATGTTTAGAAGTATTCTTGGTTCAGTTCAAAGTGGCCTCATATATAACTATTTCTTTGGAATTTGTTAACGAAACAGCAGTATGTGGATATTATATTGCCATTCTTTATCCATGTTATCATGAATATGTATCATCACTATAATCAGCTGGAGAACTATCTGATTTTTCTATTATTGTTGTCATTCCCTTGGGTTTCTGAGTGGAATATAAGGCTTCAACAGAACATATCCATTTCGTTCTGTTCTATGACGTCCTCTTCATCTGGCCCCATGATTGCGGATAGTCTCTCACCTCCTCCTCACACACCCTACGCTCATCGTTTCCCACTCGGGTTCAACATGCGTGTCCGGTCCATCTCCATTTTCTTCCTCATATTTGTCGACCAATAAGTTCTTGATTGGTTTGTTCCCACAGTTTCTTGTTGCTAATTCGTCCCGACTGGCCAGCCATCTAGTCTTCAATATGGAGCCAGTGAAGGACGTAGCTGTTGGTAAAAGTCTGCACCTGGCTGTTAGAAATGTTTTTTTCGTGACGCACAGTGCAAGGTTCTGACTCATATAAGAAAACTGACTGATTGAAGATTGTTGAATTTTGTTGTTTACGTTATTAAGAAGAACTTTCTTTGCGGCAACATTGAGAGTAGTGTTCTCCAGTCACCCTCTGATCTGCAGAAGCCCAAAAGACAAGATCCCGCACCTGACCACTTCTATGTGTATATATTAGTTCACCTGTTGCTGTGGAGCCAGGTACATCGGTCGTTCAACGCGTATGCTGTCAAAAAGGGTCAAAGAACACTATTCAGCGTGGCTGCAGAAAGGAAGTAATGGCTGCATAAGAAGTGCAATAGTAGAACACCTCGTCAACACTGGTCGTTCCATCTCAACAAAAACCTCCTTCAAAGTAATCTACAAAGTGAAGAGCAACCTTCCAAAGACAGTACGATTCCGTCTTCTTTGCATCGCAGAGGCCGTAGTCATTAAGCTAGAGGAACCAGAACTGTGTATACAAAATAAAATTATTCAACCACTTCTACTCCCATGGTAACAACTGTGTTGATTTGACTTAACTTTCCTTTGTTTGTTTGTTTGATTTGACTTAACTTTTGTTTGTGTGCTTATTTTTCTACTTAAAACCCTTGTGTAATTCCGTATATTTTTTTCCATGTACACCCTGAGTACAACTCTTTCATCAAACTATTCATGTTATTACGTAACTCTTCTTTAACAATCGTTTGTGACAACTCATCACTTTTGTTACTATCCTCTTATATCAACATCCAATCCATCTGAACTTACTAATTGTATTTTCGTTTAACAAATTTGATGTACACACACATACAAAACAACCATATATATTTGCGATTGTACAGCTATGAAAATGAATTCGCCGAAAAGAGACTCTTCGCTGAACTACTTGTCTTCTGTCTATTTACTTGCTCAGCATAATCTCGCACTAAAACCAAAGAAGAACTTTGATAATTGGCCCAGAATTACAAACCTTAATATTCCACCTTTACACTTTTTTATTGGTTGATAACAAAAAGCTACACAAAAATACATATATGAGAAAGTGGAAATCGATTGTTTCACACTACAACATCAAGGGGTCAACAACTGTTAAAAATATGACAAAACTAGGATCATTAGTCAAGCTGACTACAAACAGCCTTTACATTCGAATTAGGACTATCCAAGAGGTGCAGTAAAATGACTAGTAATAAAAAATATATATACAACAAAGAAAGTGAAGTTGTGTGTGGAAAAATGGAAATTATGAGTAACCTTCTTATGAATATGAAAGATTGTATAGTAAAAGTCGTTTAGTAAACAAACAAAAAAATTGATCCACGTTGAAAGCGCGTCATCCATACTATCCGGGAAAACAACACAATTTAAACAAACATGCCTATTTCAAAAAATTTTTATATGGGTAAAATATTTCTAAGTAGATTCTTTAATTTGATGATCGCGTTTTGTGTAATTCTCCACTTTCATTGCACTCAAGGCATAATTCACCGATAGATTTGAAGTCCATGACCATCGACAAGTTAAGGGATTGTACAGCATACCAGCAACTTGACGCGGTTGTAAACCATCTTGGAAAGAAAACAACAACAACAACCAAAAATCGAAAAAAATGATGATAATAATAATTACTAACTATTCTCAGAACACTTTTAGGTTTGAGTAGATTGAAAATCCCCATTGAGTCATATGAAAAAGAGAAGACATTCAGCGAAGAGACTCTTTTCGGCGAATTCATTCACATAGCTGTACAATCGCATTTATATATAAATATATATATATAAATATGTGTGTGTACACACACACACACAAATATTTATATATAAATGCGATTGTACAGCTATGTGAATGAATTCGCCGAAAAGAGTCTCTTCGCTGAATGTCTTCTCTTTTTCATATGACTTTTAGGTTTCATTATTATCAGCGTTCCATCGACAGAGATGCGTAAACTTATATAGGAATATCAATTAGAGAACCATTGAAAACCAGCCACAGGGAGTACTGGACAGCTGCTTCATCCTAGTTTGGGAATCATCGGCAGCACACACCCACTCCACCGACAGGGTCCGAACCCAGGAGCTTCCGGTTACAAGGCAAGCTCGTGTGTCATTCAGCTTCTGGGACCCGATTCAATGGATCATGAATTCTAACTTCTGCCGATGATTCCTGAACCTAGGATGAAACAGCAGCTGTCTAGTACTCCAGTGCTGGTTTTCAATGGTTCTCTAACTGATATCAATCCGTGATCAAGTGGTAAAAACATAACTAACCCTTACAAACCAAACTATAGAAAATTATTTAGGAATAACCTGAATATAAACAGTTTTGCTCTAGTTCACTGATTCTTTAAAAAAAAATTTGATCGAGTTTCTTAGAAGATTAACTTGATCTCTAAACAAAGAAGTGGAAGACTTTGATATAAAACTTCACTTGACACTTAGGTCTGTGATCAAATTGTTCAAAGTGTATTACCCGATCGGATCACATTTTTCGAGATAAACTTCATCCTTCAAGCAACACTATCCAAATAAACTGACCATCAGGGGATTTTTTCAGACTTACTGGAGACTAAAAACGCAGAGTTTATACAGTGCCAATCCATTCATTACACCATAGATGGACTGAATACACTGCTGACTAGTAGAGCTAGGAACAGGAGCAGACAGGATGGACAACTAACAGATTATCATGATGAAGGCAAAGTTAAACTTTAAGTACCACTAACTACCACCAATGGAGTGCGACCGCACCATTGACCTTGAATGGTCCAATGAATTTCATTTACGTGAGTTTAGATGTTCTGTTTCACTTGATTTGAGTCAAATGCCTACTCTAAGGCAATTGCGCTTGAAATTTGGTGAGGATGTGGGGTTGATTAGGAAAAAAAGGATTTGTTCATGTGGAGATGTCATGAGTAAAAAAGGCTTCAGCAGATCGATTGGTGGATATGTCCATCGTTGTGCAGTTTGTTTGGGACGAGTTAGTGTCAGGGAAGGTAAGCTGATGATTCTGATATTTAGAAGGAACATTATTTTTGCCAGGTCACACTTTTCCTTAACCCAGATTTTGTATATTTGTAATTACTGGGTTTTAAAACAGCCTGTGAGAGGTGCAGCTGCTGAAACTTAAAATTAGTCTCGTATCAACAGTTCAGTGGTACTAGCACTGCAGGGAGGAGAAGGCGTCAGCGTACACGTGGATGAAACCGTCTTATAGAAGAAAAAAAATGCAACCGTGGTCGTAAACGAGCAAATAATGTTTGGGTGACTGGCAGAAAGGATTAGCCAAGATGATAGTAGACAGAAAGTTAACTACCTTAATTACCTATTATCAGTTGACTTGTGAAACAAGGGTCTATAATAACTCCCTGTGATCTCTTGGATATATTCACCACAGAGTCAACCATTCCAATGATTTTGTGGATCCCATTACAGGGACACACACTAATTCTATAGAAGCCTTTTGCGGAAGGCAAGAAAACAGGATTAGAGCAGTTAATGAATCTCAAAAGGGCGTCATTTATAGTCATTTAGAAAAAAATATGTATAGGATGTAGTGTAACTTTTCAATTGATATTCCTAGGCTAAATTGGGAGATGTTTTTATCACACGTGAGAGATAGATATCCTATGTAACGGTGTTATGCATTATTTCTCATAAATATAAGTATTTCATGCCCAAAAATGCGATATACATTGGACAAACATCTCGAGAAATCAAGATCAGAAGAAATGAACACTGTAGAGCATCTGTTCGACCACCGAGAAATCCTGTTGAACTACAAAGACTTGAAAAATCATCAGCCATAGGTCTACATGCTATAGAATCAGGCCACAAAATTGATTTTGACAATGTTGAAATAATCCTGAAAAACTTCAGGAATCACAAAGAACGTCTAATATCAGAAGCACTTCATATCAAGTGGAATCCAAATTGCCTGAATAGGAATGATGGACTAAAACAGAATCTGACCTGGTTACAACACCTCCCTCCCCCCCCATCAAGTGACAAAACGAACACGAATGTGATAAGCACTTTCATTATGTAAACACACGCTGCTTTTATAATCTTATACACTTATCAAATCTAACAATCTACACATGATGGTTTTGTTATCTTTACCAATTCACCAACTTGACAACTAAAAATGCCCCCAAACAGACGAACGATGATCAAGTTAGTAAAATTTATTTCGATACCATAACAGACATACTATTACCTTTGTTATTTGGTTTAGTTATCTTCATCGCTATTTTTACTTTCAATATGTCCCTTTAACTTGACCTATGTCTATTTTCTCACCCCCTAACTGTTTGTTATATATATGCTGACATTTTGGAAATTCCGGTTTAATAATACTACTTTGATAAAGCTATTAGCAGCATTAAATAGCGAAACGTCAGTAAAAGCAGCAATATCGTTTTGTTTTTCATTCATTGGGAAATACAAAAACACCTTTATTATAATGAATATCACATACCCAATGCCCTTGGACGTCTCACTCGCCGCTTCCCTTTCGGGTTCCACTCGAGCATTGGCCTGACGCGCGAAGTCACCCAGCGGCCTCCTCAATGAGTGTACGATCCATCTCCACTTTCTCCTGCATATTTCTTGGGCGACTGGTTCTTCTTTTGTTTGTTCCCACAGTTTCTTGTTGGTGATTCTTTCCGGCCATCTGATCTCGAGTATAGAACGAAGACAGCTGTTGATAAAGGTCTGCAACCGACTGTTGGAAATATTCTTTATGACCCGCCAAGTTTATGATCCGTATAGAAGAACTGACTGACTTGACGTTTGTATTGAAAAAATCCGAATTTTGTTGTTGATGCAGGCTGAGTGACGAAGATTTCCAGATTGGTTTCAGGTTGATGAATGTGTTTCTCGCCTTCCCGATTCTCGATTTGACATCCTCTTCCGTTCCTCCTGTAGTTGAGACAATGCTCTCTAGATAAGTGAATGAAGTAACCTCTTTCAAATCCCTCCCGTTGACGGTAATTGGCACTGGATGTTGCTGCTGCCTTTGTTGTTGTTGGTTGGTTGGTTATTTTCATAACCTCCATCTTGTCTATGTTCACCTGGAGTCCTGTCTTTGCTGCTTCTTTGACCAGTTTATCGGTTTTCGCTTGTAAGTCTTCGATTTTGTGTGACATCAGACATGTCATATTAAAGTGATTAAAATCCTCTGAATCAATCAATCAATAAGTGAATGAATGAATGAATTCCAAAAACAATAAATCAACTTACATTTAATACAAGCATACTGTAGTCGACTTGGTTCAATGAATTTATTCCATTCATGAGTACCACGTGGAACAAGGCCAGCAATATACTCAGCTACTACAATGCCTAATAGCAGTGATGCTGTAGTATGATTAATTGTTGTTATAAACATCATTCCGTCTAACTATAAATCAAAATAAAATAAAATATAACAAAAACAAGATTTAATCTTCGTGAATTCATGCAAATGTCTGTTTGATTAAAACGTATCGTTAAAAGTACGCATATTTGTTATTAACCTGCTTATAATCAATCTCACTGAATTCTATATTTGTAGTTTTAAAAATAATATACCTGAGGAGTTAATGTAAGATAGATAGAGGGGAGTAGTGTTCGCTAGATTCATTTCAAACCAATGAAAGAATCAATAAGTAAATCAATAAAAATGATACATATATATAGCCTGATAATAATAAATACTTCGTTTGAAACATATATTATATATAATCTAGAATTCATGTGCCATTGAAACTGGTCCGAGTGGCTGAATGGTATACGAGTTTGCCTTGTAACTGGAAGGTCCTGGGTTCGAACCCTTCCGTAGTGGGTGAGTACTGCCAATGATTCCCAAACTATGCTGATGAAACAGCTGTCCAGTACTCCCAGCTGGTGGTTTTCATTGGTTCTCTAACTGATATCAATCCGTAGTCAAACTCGTAAAAGCAAACCTAATCCTTACAAACCAACTCTTGAAAATGTAAATATAAGCAGCAAATAGTCGAAAGATAACGAACGAATGATGAAAAACAGAAATTACTCTTGAGATGAAATATACCTTATAGCAAAAGAATTGTTGTGACTATTCAAACTCCCTTCTTTGTCTATCATGAAGCAACATAAAACTACCCCTATTTTGCGTTCGGGAGTAAATGAAAAACTGCCTGATTTCGCCCCTTCTATGTGTGAGTATCTACCAATTTGACTGCTCCTGTGGAGCCAGTTACATAAGCCGTACAATTAGACGTGTTTTTCGTCAGAACATCATCCCGCGTTGTTGGCTGAGTAAATGACAAACAATATCCATTCATAGCTGTATTCCATCTCATCTCGTGGATACAGAACACAACATAAATCTTAACGAGGCTTTCAAAGTCATCTACCACATACAAACTAATCTTAACTTTATCTAAAGAGTTCGTCTACTAGATATTGCTGAGGCTGGCCGTTGGGATCTACATTAAGAAATCTAACTAATGCATCCAAAAGAAGCTGGTTGGTTCAGACACTCTCCTTGTAACAACAGAAGACAAGGGCCAGGCAACAGATCGTTTATTAGGAAAATCAACACATATTTATAGATTTTCATGTACATTATTATAGATTATTGTAGGCAAACAAACACAGTCTTCTGAATGGTGATTTCTCGTTGAACGTTAATCTTTCATCTCTTTGTGGCAGTTTATTGAAGTTCAGATTATCTATCTGCAAATTGTATCCGCCTACGCAAAGTCTGCTGTGATTGATTGTTGAATCTGTCTTTGATCTTATTTTTCTCACGACCAATATTGGGGAAGTAAACATTGACGTAAATTACTGTCTACCAATTTTCGCTAGCAGCCAGCTCTCACCACACATCCTTGCGCCGCTGGCCATCAAGGTTTTAATGATCCTCAATCTGTTGTGGAAATCTCCTTAATTTTATTTGATATTCTATTTTCTATTACATTTCTACACGTTTCACGCATTCCTCTATCATTTAGAAGCGTTTTTGACATTTTCAATTTTTCGACTTTTTTGGACTCGAGTTAGGGGTAGTATCCCTACGTCGACCCAATGTTCCATATCAACAAGGTAAGAGCTACTATAGAGATAAGTTCCTATTTAGTCAGTCTTTTAGCTAACCAGGATGGTTGGTGTTCGATGGTGTTTTTCGACAGATATGCGTTCCTGGGTATATACCCATAAAAATTAAAGGACTTGAGAAAGTAACTGAGACGAAAACAAAGAACTCAGTTTATTTTTCGTCACTAGTAAGCAGGTGATGGGATATATATATTTCCGAAATTCCTGACTAACACCTTCCAACCGGTAGCTTCCGAGAAATAACCGAGAAGTAAATTGCATTAGAAATACTCACAAGAGAATATCAGTCCGACAGCAAAGTAAGCTGCAAGAACACTTTATTAAGTAAAACCAGTTTGAAAGTAGAAGAAATCAATACACCAATCTTTTTTTTCTTCTTACCTTTAAACAATTCGCTATACATTTCACCATGCCTTCCCAATCAGTCACGTGTTCTAAAACTTCCGATGCAACAACTGCATCAAAATGATTAGGTGATTCTTCAGCAACAGTTTGTAGACTGGTTAACCGGTAAACTGGTTTATGTAGGCTTGGATGAGTTATCCAACGATGTGAAGTTGCTTCAACATGTTCATTTGCTGCATTTATACTCTCTTCTACTTGATCTATGCCTAACACTTGAGCACCTAAGATGGAAAGTGCCTAGTAAAATTTAAAACAAGACAGGTAAAGATATATTTTTACAGTTATAGGTAATTTGAAAATAAACTTTGGAGAAAACTTTTCCCATGATAATAAAAAATGTAGTAAACAAAACAATGTGGCGTGGAACAATCACATTTTATGGATACGAATATATCATTAAGGGAATAGATGAACTTGAGGTTTAAATAACAACTGAATTTTAGTGGTAGGCATTGCTACAATAACGTGGTTCCTGATAGTGTTGACAAAACCAAATAAGAACTTGTAATTGTTGGTACTACAGAGCCACTGGGTGACTTAGACCTCCGCAAGAACTGGCATGGAATCATGCGCTTATCCACGACTAGCAAAATACTAAGTCGCATTATCCTGGGGTGAATGAAAGAAGCACTGGATGCGGAGCTCCGCCCTGCCCCCAGGAAAAAGCTGGATTCAGGAAAATCAAATCGTGTGCGGATCAAATTGCAACTTCACACATCATCATCAAACAGAGTATAGAATGGCACTCAAACCTCTACCTCAACCTCCTTCATCGACTTTGAAAAGGCCTTCAACAGAGTTGACCGAGAAGTAATTTGGAAACTACTTCAACACGACGGCATGCAGTGACCAGAGAAACGCTTGAAGTAGATACACGAGTAACACAAGGCTGACTACTACCACCAACGAAACTCCAGATTGTGGTGGACTGGATTATGCGCCACATTGTACTTCTTGAGCGAGAAGACAGGAATACGTTGCGTCAATAAGAAAACTGTAGAAGATCTAAAATTCGCGGACGATTTAAGTCCAATGTGATGTGAATTCGAGGACTTAGAGGCGAAAACCAACAAGTTGGGAGAAGAGGCAGACAATGAAGACAGGACTTCAAATAAACATAAGGAAGACGGAGGTATGAAAGTTACTAACCAACCAACCAGCAACAAACACCAATCACCATCCATGGAATAAATTTGATAGAGGTCACTTCCTTCACTTATCTAGGAAACATCGTTTCAGTTCCAGGCGGAACGGATGTTGGTGTCGAAACCAGAATCGAAAAGGCAAGACAAACCTTCATCACTCTGAAATCACTTCGGAAATCATCTCCTCTCCACAGCATAAAGAACAAAATCCGGATTTTTAACACCAACGTTAAGTCGGTCACTTTTTCTATATGGCACAGAAACTTGAAGCGTCCTGAAGAGCATTTTAAACAGACCACAGCAAACCTTTATCAGCAGCTGACTGAATAGCTGACCAGAAAGTATTAGCAACAGGAAAGTCTGGAAACGAACCGACCAAGGACTTGTTGCCCAACAAATATGAGGAAGAAAACGGACATGGATCGGACACATACTGAGGAGACCGTTGGATGAGGCGGGCCCTGAAATGGAACCCAAATGGGAAATGACGAGTTGGGACGGGAGGAGGTGGAAAGACTGTGGGCAATCGTGGAGCAAGCTGAAGACGACCGCAGAGGACGGGACAAAGTGTAGATGTGTTGTTGAAGCCAGATGTTCCATTTGGAAACCAAAGGAGATAACAACAACATATAACAATAGACAGCAACTGATAGTTTGACTTTTATTAACCTTCAGAAATCACTGTTGATCAGGAACCGTAAAAATAAAGACTGGACAGAGAGAGAAAACGTTGGCCTACACATGGCATACTTTTTATCAACTCAGTCAATGCATACACCATCAGTGTTTTTCTGCCTTGTAGACCACAGGTCACAGAGTTAGACTTTGATTTCAATACATTATAGAATCATTAGGTTATAGAGAATGGTAAAGAGACTTTACTAAACTGTTTAAAAATTGTCCACACTATGCAAAGATTAATGGAACCTCCTCCTTCAACATTCTTATTCGTTATTGTTATGACCGGGATTACGACCTAGTAGAAACTATGTGTGAATACTGACTTAATGCACTGGCTAATCTGTCCTAATCGTACATCAACAACAGTAACACTGCCAGGTCACAAAGACAGAAGAAAAGACTGGATGTTGGTAAGAGAGCTTTTTACTGTCTCAAAACAACAGTCAAAAAAAGGTTGACAGAGGTTGCATGTATGTTTGCCCAAAGTGCCCTTGGGAAGCACTAATGTAATTGATAAATTAAGACAAGGAACAACCAATAGGAGTCCAAAAGTCATACGCAGGGTGAGAGGAAGTCAGGTCATAAATCAATAAGTGAGGTGAGAGAAGAAGGAGACATCTTAAATGACATGTGGGAAATTAGTTGTTTATAACAGGCGGACTATATAACGCACTACAGCAGATTGGCCTTTTTATTGTCAAAGAAAGATGGTAATAACATAAAAGTGTACTCCTCTTATATAGTTTACAGTGAAAGTCTCGTAGCAGGTATAATATTTGAAATTTTCCAGCTGAAGACTGAAGATTTTTTTGTTTATATATTTATTTATCTATTCATAATAAGTGCGTCGGTGGCACAGCGGTAGAATGCTCGTCAACTACGCCTCATGTGTTCCGGGGTTCGATCCCCGGCCACAGACGCACTCCCAAACCTCGCTAAGCTAGTAATAAGAATGGTAAACAGGGGAGGTTGGGTATGAGGCTAGCAACCCCATCCCGTAAAAATAAACACCACTACTACAGAAACTTCAAGTCTATAACTTGAAGCCCTATGTTCCACTGAGAACGTAAAGGGATAAAAATTTTGTTAAAAAAAACCGAAGACTGATAACACGAAAGTGAAATATACCTGTTCATAATCTGTAAATGACGACAGACGACCGTCTATTCACCACAATTCTTTTTTTTTCGTAGTAAATGTGCCATTCAGTAAAAATAAAAGTGGTTAACTGTGTATTCAATTTAATGATCTGAACAACGATAATCGGGTTATATTTCCAGTTTAATGTTAACGATCACACGAACTTGAAAGTGATTGTGTAAAGAATGATTGATGATAATAACAATCGTTTTAATGTGCTTGATAAGGTGTGTGTTATCAATTTTAGAGATTAATGCGGGGGGGGGGGGAGGGGAATATGTTGACACAGAGAATTTCAGCTCAACAGTAAATATACAGTCAGTAGACTTCTTTGTCCACGTAAAGTTTGCGACGCGTTTCAAAATAAACAAAGTACACCATTGAATTATACGTTAGAATTATAAAATAACCACTTCATTAGAAGAAATTTCATAAGATCATCAACTTATATTCAAAACACAACACATCACCCTGAACTTGACAATACCTATTCATATATATATATATGTAGACGTTTCTGAAAAGTCCATTTTCAGTATTGAAGACGATATCAATAAGCATTTTACATCTCATAAGGATTTAAGTTTACAGCTGTAAACAATTGTGGGTTCAAAATAATTGATATAAAAAGAACTACTCTGGAAAATACTACTTATAATCAAACAACCAGCACCAAACGCAAACAACGGGACAGATTTAAAAGAGATTACCTTCTTCACTTATCTAGGAAGCCAACATCGTTTCAACTACAGGCGGATGACACGGATGAAGATGTCAAGGCTAGCGAGGCCAGCAAGAATCGGAAAGGCAAGATACACACCTTCATCAACCTGAAACCAATTTGGAAATCTTCTGCACTCACTCAGCCAGCATAAAGAACAAGATTCGGATTCTATTCAACACCAATGTCAAGTCGGTTAGTTCTTCAAAATACGGGTCAAAAACTTGTCAGGGGTGTCACGAAAAGCACTTCCAACAGGTTGCCTTCGCTGTTTATCGAAGATCAAACGGCCAGCCAGAAAGAATCAGCAACAAAAACTCTGGGAAGAAACCAACCAAGAACGGTTCGCTCAACAAATATGTAAGAGAAAATGGAGATGGATAGAGCATATGTTGAGGAGGCCGTCGAGTGACATCACGCGCAATGGAGCCCACAACTCGAGTGGAATCCCAATGGGAAGTGAGAAGTGGGGGTCATCGTTGCGAGGGTGACATGGAGAAGATCGTGTGAGGAGGAGATGGAAGATTATGGGCAACCATGGACAGCAGAAAATAGAACAAAGAAGAGATGTGTTGTTGAAACCTTATGTTCCACTCGAAAACCAAGGGAATAATAATAATCGAAAAAGTAATATCTACTCTAACGAAGTTGATATATTAGGAAAAAAGATAAACTACACATTATTTCACTGTACGGGCAACGGATACACAGCACATAAATACTTCTGGCTGGCCGGCTGGATTCAACATAGAACTTGGCACCGAAGTGCAGCAGTTCCAGTTGCCACGTTCCAAATAGCACACAAAGGTAGACAAGAAAATAAGTGAAGAGAATCAATAGAGTTTTGACAAGTATAAGAGTGAAACAGAATGAGTAATGGTAGAAAGGAATATGAAAGATTACAGAGACTGAATACATCTGCGTAAGCCATTGACAACGATTTTGAGCCATGTCACCTATTGTCTCCAGCCATTGACTGATTCTTAGAGTCCCGAGGGCGGGCCCCAACCCGGAAGTCTGCATCTCCCTACCTGACTCAGTTTAACTGTCAGGGATTTCATGGATTGGTGAGGCCATGTTTTTGTTTGGTCACCACTTACTGTTAATCGCGACAGATAGATAGACTGTATGATAAGCAGCCAATCAATATTATGTGACCTTTTTTGTCGCGATTATTGGCCAATTAATGTAACTCACACCACGTGATGGTGACCTTGAATGTTCTTTCTTGTCTGTCACTCTACTTGTATATACATGTAATTAATTGACTGTTCATTTTGTCCGTACCTTCAATACTGTTCGGTACGTTTTTGTCCGTTTTTTGTAATGACGGTGGATTTGTACATTTTTCTTGGTGTAATTTTATGATTTATTTTATGTTTTAGAACAGATAAAGTTAAAGTCAAGTTATTCTGTTTTAACTATAGATAAGCCGAGACTCTGTATCGTCAGTATTGAGGAAGGACTAAATCTGTAGGACAAAAATAATCCTACACTTACTCTTTTCCAACCTGCACCTATATCAGCTAGTAATGCCCGTCGGAGGAGGCGATGGTTAGGCATGAGCAGCACATGACCTAACCATCTCAATCTATGTAACTTTATAGTCTCTTCGGTTGATTTTTCCTCTTTGCCCAACACTCTACGCCTAACGTCAACATTACTTACCTTATTATGCCACCTGACGTGAGAAAGAGATCGTAGACATCTATGATCAAAAACAGTCAACCTTTTCATGTCTTCAACTCGTATTGGCCATGTTTCAGAGCCATAGAGAAGGACGGAGCGAACTGCTGAGCAGTACACACGTTCCTTGGTTGATAGCCGGATGTCACGCCTACGCCAGAGATAAATACTTCAGAGAGGGAGAGAGAGATTTAAAAAAAAACTACATTTATATCAATTATACCAACTAACCTACCTCTGTAAGAATACCGCCTCCACAACCAACATCTAATATCTTTTTACCCATTAAAGGTAAGTGGATCGATTCAGTGGTTGACTCTACTGTTGAAGGAGGACAAATACCATTTCGTATAAACGGCACACGTAGACGATTCATTGAATGCAACGGCTTTAATTCACCTTTCAGTAAAAGAATACGCAACGCATATTATAGAAACTATACCTCATGGTAAGAAAACTCTATTAATAGAATACTAACCCAAAAAATCTGAAATAACACGTAGTATGCAATTAATAGTGTTCTCTGAGCGCTGGTTGGTTTAGTTGCGGAGCTTTCGTAAGAAAAAAAATAGGTAAAATAGATCCGTTAGATTTCATTCGCCATTGATCTCTTGTTCTGTAATTTGTCCTGATTTCATTAGTTTATTTAACGTTGTTCTGATTTTGTTATCTAATGTTTGTATTGGGTTTTTTGTCAACTGTTGATATACATTATTATCTTTGAGTAAATCCTCTGCTTTCTTTATGTAGTCTTTTGTGTCCAGAATTACTGTTGTTCTTCCTTTAACAGCCGATAGAATAAATATATATCTTTTCTATTCTTCAGTTTCTTCAATGCATTTTGCTCTTCAGTTGGGAATTATGTCTTTTCTGCTTGAGTATAGGTATGATACATTGACGTACTTCTTGTTGTACTTCCTCATTCTAAGGAAGCACAGAAATCTGTTACTGAAGCGTCACCAGTATTATAGTTGAGTTCTTTCTGAAGAAGTTGTTCTTCTGCTTTTGATAATGGTTGTTTCGATAGATTTACTACACAAACATTTAGAGTTTCTTCAGATGGTTGTTTGGATATCTTAGCTAGTTTTCCTTTGAGGGTGACTCGTCTTCGTTCTTTGTATCGTTTGCTACTTTACTGCTCCCCGTTAGTCTTTCCTGGGCTACTGAAAAAGGATTATGCCATCCTGAGAAGGATGTTGAAGGTAGTCAGTAGGACTAGTGGTGTAAATCTCAGTCAGCTCGTCACTACTTTAGTTGATAGGCATCTGAATACATGCGAAAAATGGTCTAAAACCATACTCTCCGAACCCCAACACTCCCTCTATTCCCAACTCTCTCCTTGTATCTCATCAAGTAGAACCAGAAATCAGTATAAAATAACTTATGCTCGTACAACCAAGTACAGGAACTCAACGATACCATACTTGGTCCGTGTTCTAAGCGACAGAGACAATGTTAAGCGTGAAACCTATGACTTGCTTTGTTACTAACAACATAATTTTAGGCTCTTTTATTTCTCTCTTATTTTGTATTCTTTAGTGAACTCCTTCTTCAAACATACTTAGCTACCTAAACTATTAACATTGGCTTTCTTTTTTGTACTTTACTATATTCCTTCTATTGTGTATCCACTGGTTCCGACTCTATTAGCACTATGAGTATTACAAAATTGTCCTGTCATTAACCATCATGTAATCATTAGTTTTGTGGTTGTTTTTTCTTATTTTCTATACTTTTCGGCAATATTAAACTGATAATCATTGGTTGTGAACGCCATAGTCACCACCTTAAAAAATTTTGTATTATTCAGGATTACTCACACTACCACCACAAACACTACATTAGACTTTGGTACTTTTTCGCATTTATAATTATTTTGTGTTTATCCTGTTCTTTTTTGCTGTTGGTGTCTTCAGATTTATTTTTTTGTTTGTTTAATACTTATTTTAAATGTTGGTAAAATTAGATGCAAATATTGTAGATATGTGCTGAAAATTCCACACTGTACCACTAGTACTGTTTCTGGAATAAAGCAAATTATTATTATTTTATTATTATTATTTTAATAGCAGTATTCAATGTTGACAGATGTTCTGGCGTAAAAGTCTGTTCAACCTTTTCTTTATGGAATCTAATCATATGCTGGTATTTTTTAATCCTATTGTGTGCATCCATGATCATTAATTTCACCATTTGTTTTCCATGTTGTTTGGCTAATTTCCAGCCTAGAGGGCAGTTAATTGTTGGTTTATATTTGACACTAGTTGGTAGAATCTGCTGGCGGAGACATTCATGAAGAAAGAATAGTTGTTCTTCTGTAGAAATTTGCCTTTTAACAAAGTTTTCCCTTTTTTTCGACACCACAGAAGCGTATCACGCTCGTAAGATTTTGAAATAATAGAGACGATTTGTAGCTCAGGTGGATGATTTGCAATTAATAGTGTTCTCTGAGCTGGTTGGTTTAGTTGCGGAGCTTTCGTCGTCCTTCCGGACAACCAACATCTTCAGCGCAATATTTAGCATAAAGTGAAATGATTTAAATTTCTTCATGAGTTATATAATTGCGTCTCCCGGTAACCATCTTAACACGTAGTATGCCTTGTTATATTATAAGAAATAATGGTCAAACATTTAATATAAATGTCAAATCAGTACTTCTGTGTTGTTCAAAACTTTGGTGTGCGCATCATGAGCACTTTGAACAGACTACTACAGCAGACTTTCACCAACATCTGTCATCGCCGCTTACTGAAGATCAGATGGCCAGGAGGCATAACAACGCGAAACGAACCAACCAATAACCTATTGCTTGAAAAATCTGA